TGCTGCTGCTGCTGCTGCTGCTGCTGCTGCTGCTGCTGCTGCTGCTGCTGCTGCTGCTGCAATGTGCGTGGCCGCGCTGCTGCCGCAGCAGCAGCGGCAGCAGCAGCAGCAGCAGCAGCAGCAGCAGGCATCGTGGGACGGCGCCGCAAGGTGCGGGGTTCGCGCGAAAGCGGGCGTTTGGCAGCAAAGCCCTCCGGCTGAATAGCCGGAAACAAGCGGACTGAGAAAACCCTAAAAAAGGGTTTTGTTTGTCCAATTAGGGTTTCGGAGCGAGCTGTTTGTGCGGAGACGCATTCTCACAACGCTGGCCAACGGCCTCGGGCCTCTTTTTTCTCTTTGCGTTTTTCTCTTCTGCGGAAACGCCTGGAGGCTGCAGGTTCTCCACCAAGTCCTGCGGATTGGAGTTTTCCTCAGTCTCCCGCAGGCCAGCCAACACAGCTAGCTGGCTAGCTAGCTAGCCAGCTCGCTGGCTAGCTAGAGAGCTAGCTAGGGAGCTAGCTGGGTGGCTAGCTGGGCAGCTGGGTGGCTAGCTGGGTAGCTAGCTGGGTGGCTAGCTGGGTGGCTAGCTGGGCAGCTAGCTGGGTGGCTAGCTGGGTAGCTAGCTGGGTGGCTAGCTGGGTAGCTAGCTGGGTAGCTGGGTGGCTAGCTGGGTAGCTGGGCAGCTGGGTAGCTAGCCGGGCAGCTGGGTAGCTGGGTGACTAGCTAGATAGCTGGGTAGCTAGCTAGCTGGGTAGCTAGCTGGCTAGGTAGCTAGCTGGCTAGCTAGCTAGCTAGCTAGCTAGCTAGCTAATTAGCTAGGCAGCTGGAGCACAGCCGAAGAGACCATTTTAAAGAGTAGATTGCGGACTTGATGAAAAGCGGAGTTTGCCTTTTGAAATTGAGATAATTAAATTAATTCTTTTTGAAATAATTTGAATTATTTCTTTTTAATTAATTCACTTTTAATTTCTTCTTTTAATTTATTCTTTTGTCCTTTTGCTGCTGCTGCTGCTGCTGCTCAGCTGGTGGTGCTGCTGCTGTGGAAAGAAATAACAGCAGAAGAGGCCCTCAAAGTCCGGCTGGCGCCGCTGCAGGTGGGGCCCCCTGGGGGCCCCTCGGGGGCCCCCTGGGGGGCCCCCGGGGGCCCCCCGGGGGCCCCCTGGGGGGCCCCTGGGGCCCCCGAGGAGGCCCAAAAGGGTACAGAAATCGAACCCGGAAAGGAAACAGAAAAGGAAGAAGCAATTGAAGAAAAAGGGTTTAGTGATAAGCTGCTGCTAAACCCTAAACCCCAGAAATCTTTTTTGTTTCTTAAAACCCATCATGTGCCCTGGCTTATCTTCGTCTCCCACTGCATCACCTTCTGCGGAGCGGGTAAACCCTAAACCCTAAACCCTAAACCCTAAACCCTCGTTTTTTTCTCCCAACTTGTATTGCGGAGAATTAAACAAAAGTAATTAATTAATTAATTAATTTATTAATTATTAATAATAAATGCTAAGTAAATAATAAACAATGTATGATAAGCCACAAGGGTAGCAGCTCATAAAATTGAGAAAATCAAAAAAAAAATAATAAAAAGGAATTAATTGATGGAAATATTCAAAAAATAGAAAAGAATTGACAAAGACAAAGACAGCTCAAACAAAAAAGAATTTAGAAGCACTGGATACAATTTGCTGCTTTGTTTGCTGCTGCTGCGTTCCTTCCTGCTGCTGCTGTTGCTGTTGCTGCTGCTGCTGTTCTTTCTGCTGGCGCTGTTACTATTACTGCTGCTGCTGTCTTTTCTGCTGCTGCTGTTGCTGCTGCTGCTGCGCTGTTGCTGCCGCTGCTGCGCTGCTGCTGCTGCTGCTGTCGCTGGTGCTGTTTTTGCTGCTGATGCTGCTGCTGCTGCTGCTGCTGCTGCTGCTCAGGAATGACAGTGAAGTACTTTCCTCTTTTTTTTAAAAGTGAATATTCTTTCGACCCAATTTGCTCTTGTCTTCTTTCCACCGCATACACCCTGTCCATCGCGGGGTGTACATACAGTGGGTTCTTTTTCTTTTCCAAATCCTAGAGCTGCACTCATTTAATTAATTAATTAATTCTCATTATTTATTTATTTATTTATTTATTTATTTATTTATTTATTTATTTATTTATTTATTTATTCGTTGCTTTGTTTATTCTTTTGTATTTGTTGCTCTGAGAGCTCTTTAGGGGGTTTGTTGTTTTTTGTTTTCAATTTCATGAATTTATTTATTTGTCTTTTTTCTTCAACTCTTCGATTTATTTATTTGAATTTGATTTGCTTTTGTCTTTTTTCTTTTCATTTTATTTTATCTTATTTTTTGAGTTAATTTATTTCTCTTTCTTCATTGCCTTTAAGGCGCTACCTCTGGCGAATTTCATAAATGCAAATTCTTTTTTTATTTCTTTTTTTAATTCCCCTTCAGTCTTTTCCCCTTTTAATTCAGTTCTTATTCGCTTGGAGACACTCTCGGGCTTTCGGCGCAGAATTTAGGGTTTAGGGTTTAGGGTTTAGGGTTTAGGGTTTGGGGTGTACGTACACCGCAGTGATCCAAGTGGTGGCGACTCACATGGGCCCCACAGAAGCTTCTTTTTTGTTTACTTCAATTGGCGTGGGGTGAGAAGTTATAATTAATTAATTAATTAATTAATTAATTAATTATAAATAAATAAATAAATAAATAAATAAATAAATAGTAATCAATGATAAATGAATAAATAGTAATAGATAAAGAAAAAGAAATAGTAATAAATGATAAATAAATAATAATAAAATGTAAATAATTAGCAATTAATGACAAATAAATAAACAACAATGATAAATAAATAATAGATAATGGATAATAAATAAATTTAAATAAATAATAAATAATAAATAATAAATAATACTAAATAAATCCATTAAACGTTTTTCTAACTAATAAATAAATGGCAAAGTTAATAAATATTAAACAAGAAATGGCAGCAAATAAAAACAAATAAAAAATAAGAATAATTAAATGAAATAAATGACAAACAAATGCTAAATAAAAACAAGAAATAAAGGAATAAATAAATAATGCAAAAAACGAAAATATTAAATTAAAATTAAAAGTAAAAAGTTGATAAAAAGGCATTAAACAAATTGTAAATGAACAAATTCATCAAGACAGTCATCAAAAAGAAAAGTCCAATCCAATTTATCTTCTTGTGCTGTTTGCTGCTGCTGCTGCTGCTGCTGTGCTGCTGCTGCTGCTGCTGCTGCTGCTGCTGCTGCTGCTGCTGCTTAGGGGTCTCTTTCTCTTATCTCAAGTGCATTATCTTCCGGCAGTTATTTTCATTTATTTGATGCGGTGAGCTGTCTATACACCTCAGCACTCTTTTTTATTTCGTTTCCAAAACTCCAAGAAAGTCATTTAAATTTTTTTGTTTTTAAATTTCTTTTTGTTCTTTTAATTTCTTTTTTCTCCCTTTGTGTCTCCTCTCTCGCTTCTCCCTGCGCTTCTCCCTCACTCCCTGCTGCTGCTGCTGCTACTGCTGCTGCTGCTGCTACTGCTGCTGCTGCTGCATCCCCCCTGCTGCTGCTGCTGCTGCTGCTGCTGCTGCAGCGGGGCTTTTCAGAACGCCTCGACTCCC